GAAGAGGCCGGCACCAACAAGCGCAGCATCCCCGCCCGAGGATGCCGGAACGCGGCCCACGTACTAGCCCGGGAGCGCGCGGAGCGATGACGCAACCACACGGCCAGCCAATCCCCTGTCTCAGAAGCTCGCGCGCGGGGCGGGGCCTACGTCATCAGCGCGTGCCGCGCCAGTGCCGGAAGTGCCAGGGCCCCTGGTCCGGTGCCACGTGCGGATCGTTTGGGGCTGGACTTTTGCCGCTCGCTGGTGAGCCCCGGTGGGCATCGACGAGGGCGGCATGGCTGGGCCCCTTCGAGCTCCCCCCGGCCCTCGGCCGGCCCTCCGGCCCCTTCAGCCGTGACCAGGCCGCAGTTTCCAGTTGCACCTGGCTCCGGGTCCCCAGTTTCCGCCCCTCGGGTAGCCTTGGCTTCTTGCCCGCCTTGGGGGAAATCATCAGGGGACTGGGGCTTCGTAGAGTCCGGCCTCTCATCGACGTGGTCACTGGCTACTTGCGCCCTTTCTGGTGGGCATCCCTAAAGACCGTTTCTCTCATGCTTCGGAAATGAAGTCTGGGTCCTGGAGGGAGGGCAAGCAGAGGGATCCTATTTGACAATCCCTGTCGTCTTGGCCTCTCTACCAGTCATTAGGACTCGTGTCCTCAGTCTCGGGTTCTAGACCGTGGAGCACTTCAGCTCAAGGTAGCCTGCCGTGTGGTCCGTCGTCCTGGCCCTCTCATGCGCTCACACCCCCCCTCCCCAGGCCCTGGCACCATGAGCTTCGTGGAATACGAGGAGATCATCAAGGAGGGAGACACAGCCATCCTGTCACTGGGCCATGGCTCCATGGTGGCCGTGCGTGTGCAGCGAGGGGCGCAAACGCAGACCCGCCATGGCGTTCTTCGGCACTCTGTTGACCTCATCGGCCGCCCTTTCGGCTCCAAAGTGACCTGCGGCCGAGGCGGCTGGGTGTATGTCCTGCATCCTACCCCGGAGCTCTGGACGCTGAACCTGCCCCACCGCACCCAGATCCTCTACTCCACAGACATCGCCTTCCTCACTATGATGCTGGAGCTAAGGCCTGGCTCCGTGGTCTGCGAGTCAGGTGGGTTCTGCCGAGAAGGGGACGCACGTGGTACTCAGAATCCCCACTCACTCTCTTCCTGCACATCAGCCAGGCTGCCCTTTGGTGACCCTGAATAGGGTCTTGTCCCAGAGCTACCCAGGACACGCCTGCTGACTCCAGCACCCTGGGCACAGCAGAGTGGACAGACCCCTCCCCCCCAAATCACAGGCTGAAAGTTAAAGCTTGAGAGAGTGGACCAGGGGCTCGGCCAGCATGATCACTTGTGCTTGGACAGGCTGTTAGAGGCTGTGATGGCACCAAGTGAAAGGAGATCCACTTGGACAGGGCTTGTGGTCCTGGGAGCTGCTGCCCTGCCTGGGGCGTGCTTTGGCGGCGGGGCCAGGCTGATGCTGACCAAGGTGCAGACCTCCCAGCTCTGGACCCTGTGGTGGTGCAAGTGGAGGACACTTGGTGCAGTGTGGTCTGAGGGGTTCAAGGTGGGGCCCACTCCCTACCCCTGTACCCAGAGGTGGGGGCTTTGCCTGGGGTGGGATTAGGATGTCCTGCTGTTGTGGTCTGGCCAGGACCAGCCTCCATCACTAAGCCCAGGAACAGTCCAGGGTCATGTCCCTGTGTTTCTGCCTGTGATACCTGGCCAAAGTGGGCATGCTTCAGGGGCAGTCCAGCAAGCGAGGGTCGGTGAGTGGCCAGGGAGTGTCCAAAGGCCTGGGGCTGGGTGTGCTATTGCAGGAACTGGCAGCGGCTCGGTGTCCCATGCCATCATCCGCACCATCGCGCCCACGGGCCACCTGCATACGGTGGAGTTCCACCAGCAGCGAGCTGAGAAGGCCCAGGAGGAGTTCCAGCAGCACCGGGTCAGCCGCTGGGTGACCGTGCACAACCAGGATGTGTGCCGCAGCGGCTTCGGCGTCAGCCACGCTGCGGACGCTGTCTTCCTGGACATCCCGTCGCCCTGGGAGGCTGTGAGCCATGCCTGGGATGCCCTCAAGGTTGAAGGTGAGCTGGGGCTGGGGCTCCTGGGTGTCACCCAGGGTGGAGGGTAGGGGATATGTGCGTTTCTCCCCGGGATTACCACAGGTCAGGGGCTAAGGCGCAGGTCTCAGCTCTGTTGCCCCACCCCCACAGGCTACAGGGCCCAGCGGGATGCCTTTTAGGGGAAAGCTGCTGGTGGGGGCGGGACAGCATCAGGAAGGTGGCCCTGAGCCAGGCGGTGCAGTCAGACAAGGTTTTTCCCTTTTCTGGAGAAGGATCTGCCTGGACACCCAGGTGTCCGCCCTACAAGCCTGGAGATGCAGTGGGGAGAGTGTGTGTGATGCTGGATAGGGTGTAGGGAACCAGGCGCTAGGTAGGTAGCATCAGCTGAGCCCGTCCGCCCACACTCTAGACCTGGTGTGTGCCCTGAGGTCTGGGTGCTGGCAGGGCTGAGGTGACAAGAACTTGAGGACTCTCTACCATCTCCCCCCAATCCCCTCCTCCTCTCACCCCTCACTTCC